ATATATATATATATCCAAAGGAACCCTGGGGAGTAGCATTGGTGACTTTCGGGATAAGGTAGGGGCTTTACAACTTTGGGAGAGTTTAAGGCTTCCGGGTTTGAATTCTGACCGATAGCTTTGGTGGTTTGCGGTGGGGTGGGGTGGTTGAGGTTCAGGGTCTGGCATTCTAAGGCCTGATTTGACTGTCCAGAACTTGTGGGATGGGGTTTAAGGCTTTCGGGTTTAGGGCTCAGTGTTGAGGGTTTATGGGTTGAAAGCTCCGGGAGGAGGGCTTACGCGCATTTGTGCAGGGCTTATGAACGAGGTTGATGGTTTAGAGCCCAGGCCATTGACGTCGGGTTCGGGGTGTACTCTAGTTTTTAATAGGGCGATGCAGACTAAACATCAACGGGCCGCGCGGTATGGATTATCATTTGGCTCGCTCGAACCATACCGGCACATACGTGCATGATCCCCTTTACCGACCAAGGTGCTCTTCAAATATTCTCAGAAGGCCTGTGCCCCGGATCTTTCGGCGGGCTTACGATTAGGGTTTTGGGTTTTACCGTTTAGGTTTTCTGTTTCCGGAAGCTCGGATTGTGGGGCTGATTAGGCTCATGAAGTCGCGAGAATTCTTTTTCGGGGCTGGGGGCAGAAAAGTCTAGGCACGGTAGAACAACCAATCTTTAGCGGTTAAAGTGACGGATTCAGTGATACCTTTGCTAAACTCATAACTTCATACTTCACTTGTCTGAGGTTGAAGATTTTCAAGTTTGTCTCACATGGTGACTAAATTCCCAGAGTTGGTCAGTCCTTACGACGTCTTCAAAGCGCGCACGCAGAATTCAATGGGTACTGACACAGGGAAAGCTTGCGGGGTCGTAGGGCCCAAAACTCCAAAACCCTAAATCCCTAAACCATAAACCGGATTAGAGTTTAGGGTTTAGGGGTTTAGGGTTTAGGGTTTAGGCCGGAATCATCCCGGGCAGCCCAAGTCCCCATCCTTATGAAAGCTTCTCATGTTGCAGCCTACACATCCAGTGACGTCCGTCGCTTGCTAGCAGCTGGCTATGTAGACGACGTAGAACACTACGGAAGTGGACTGAGTGACCTTCCCAACACTGTCTGTCTTCCTATGTGTGTAGACTCTAATAGGGTTTAGGGTTTAGGGTTTAGGGTTTAGGTAATGTACTTCTACTACGGCCAACATAGATTCGCCTCTGGATTCAGATTCAGACATAAGGCATCGGTTGTGATGCTGCCTGAGTTTGCTTTGTAATCGAGTTTTATTGACTGATGTCGACGACCCCTGGACCCAGTACTTATGAAATGTGGCTCGTTTATGTGGGGATTCTGGTGTGTCTATACTCTACTGGGCTCCTGGCGGTCCCAGGGTGTTATTCTGGGGATGCTTGAGATGCGAAAAGCGGGTCTCATGTGCACCCTGTAGCACACACAGACTTTTACAAAAGTGTGCAGCTTAAAGTGTCGAACCCCCAAGCGAGGCTTAGAAAAAGGCTGATCAAATCCTGCATCATTGCTGCATAACGGATGGGCCACAAACCGGACCTAAGACCTACCAACAACCTGATGTCCTTTTTCACACTGAGCCTCCATACAAACTTCTCTATACCCGCAGCATCAACCTCTGCAAGCCTACACCAGGATCAGCTCCTTGAACTCCAAATGGTCGGTTGACAAGAACAACAAACCCCAAACCGTAAACCCAAAACCCTAAACCCTAAACCCGAACCCGAATAAATGTGAAGCAACATCTCTCTCTCTCTCTCTCTCTCTCTCTCTCTCATGCACAGTTTAGAACGAAAAGCCGCACACACACACACACACACCAATAAAGGACCGAGGCCCGAAGCCCTAATCACCCTAGGCCGCAGACCTTAAATCCTAAAACCCTGAAGCCCAAAGTCCTAAGCTCTAAAACTAAGATCCCCCAAACCCCCGAAACCCTGAACTCTAAAGCTCTAAATCCTAAAACCCGAGAGCCCTTAAACCCTATCCAGGAAGGCAATGACACCGCTAAATCCTAAAACCCAAGAGCCCTACACCCTGTCCAGGAAGGCAATGACACCGAGTTCCTCTCTGAGAAGCTTATCGAGCCCCTCCTGGAGGCGAGGAAGGACTACCCCAAACCCTAACTTGGTGTTCTGCTGGGTGGCTCTTAGGACTTTAACTTTTGGGGTTTCTATATGAACCATAATAAGGAGACTAAAAGTTTCAGTTTTTGGAGGGGTTCAGAAGTCAGCCAAGCTAAACTGATGGCACTTCCAGGACTAAGCGACTCAGGAAGTGCTGACATTAGGGTTTAGGGTTTAGGGTTTAGGGTTTACGACTTCGGATTTGGGGGGGGTTAAAGCCAGGGTTTCCCTAAACTCTAAACCCAAAACCCTTGCGGGGCTTAGGGTTGACGTTTTAGGGCTTAAGGTTGAGCACTTGGAGGTTAGAGCTTTGGGTTGAGGATTTAGGATTGTGGGTTTAGAGGTGTTTAGGGTTTAGGGCCTAGGGTTGGGCAAACTCGAGGGTCTTGAGTAATTGTTGGCATTACTACCTTGGAAGCGAATGTCGTCGCGACTAGCTGAGCTAGGCATCATTGCCTCTTTAGCATAGTGCTAGTTCAACTAATGCGCCCCAACAGCCTGTTGTAATTATTCAGGCCCCTAGATTGCGGCTATCTGTACCATAGTTGGGGGAGTATAAGTAGATGCTACCTAGAGCTTCCTTATGTGAACCCCTTGGTTTCTCCCCTGATCCTTCAAGCAGGGTTTTACGGTGTACCTGTGGAGTTTACGCTTGCTCGTTCACTCACGGGTTTTAGGGTTTAGGGGTCATGGAGTTTAGGAGCTTAGGGTTTACATCTGCAAAGGCAGAATCAGCGTCTGGCCTGGTTTTGCTCACCGGGACTTAGGTCGTTCGGTGAAATGTAGATGTAGAAGCCTGCTAAACTGCTGGCAGCCTGCCTTAGAGCTCTTTCATATACGTATACTGTAAGACTGTAAGATACAGGAGCTTCTGAAAGGGCGTCGGTTTCTGTGGAGTGGTGTAGCCCTAAACCCTAAACCCTAAACCCTTAAGGTGTAGGGTCAGCCAACTGGAGTATTCGCAACTGTGCCGGTGCACACTATCCGGAGCATCTAGGACATTTTCAGGTGGGTAGTTACCGTTATGGGAGCCTTCTAGAAGGTCTATATACCTTATGGAAGCCTTATAGATGCCCTATATACCCCAAACTCCCCACCTGTAGTTTCCTTTAAGATCATGCTAAGGAATCCCAAACACGACTGAGTTCAACCTTTAGGCGTGGGTTTGGGGTTTAGGATTTAGGCAAGGCTTGGGGTTTACTGGGTTTCAGGTTCAGAAAATCCGTTTTTTAGCTTCCGATTCGCGCCGTCTGTCGTTCAGGGTGTCCTTGATTGGGATCCGAAACCGTATCGAAATAGCGATACTGGTTTCAAGAGTCGTCACACTAATTGAACCCTAGACCCAAGTGCGTCGAGAAATAGTAATAGCAGACTAGTCCAGAATGTAGGAATCCGTCTAGGCGTGTGTTTTCGTGGTCAGGTGTAGGGATTCGTTTTTTTTTGGATTCTTGTTTGCGGTTGTGAATTTAATTTGGGTTTTGGGATAGCGTCTTGTGGCCTTGAGGGAATCATAATCAAGATACCTGTCAAGCCACTTAAAGAGAAAGGTACTCTGTCGGAAGGCTAGCACTTGCCAATCAGCCATAAAACCATAACTGTCAGCCCCACAAACCCTGAAACCTTACACCCCAAAGGATGTACGATAATCACACACACACTCAATCTCATGATTGCAAGAAATGTCGAAACAATAATGTGCGTACATGCATGTCTGTATATGGCAAACGAACAAACAAGCAGACAAGCAACGACATAAACAAGTATATACATACATATGTATGTATGTATGTATGTATGTATGTATGTATGCATGTATGTATGCCTGCATAACTCTGCATGTAAAAACCCTAAACCCTAAGCCCGAAGGCAAAAGAAGCGGAGCGAGCTCTTAAACCCTAAACCCTAAACCCCTAAAGCCCTCAACCCTAAACCCTAAATCCTTAACCCTAAACCTAAACCCAAAAGCCCTATATACCCTAAACCTTAAACCCCTAAATCCTAGACTCTAAACCCTAAACCCTAAGCCTTAAATCCCTAAATCCTAGACTCTAAACCCTAAACCCTAAGGCTTAAATCCCTAAATCCTAGACTCTAAACCTTGAACCCTAAGCCTTAAATCCCTAAATCCCAGACTCTAAACCTTGAACCCTAACCTTAAATCCCTAAATCCCAGACTCTAAACCTTGAGCCCTAACCTTAAATCCCTAAACCTACCCCAAAACCCTATACCCTAAACCTTAAATCCCTATATCCTAGACTCTAAACCCTAAACCCTAAGCCTTAAATCCCTAAATCCTAAACTCTAAACCTTGAACCCTAAGCCTTAAATCCCTAAATCCCAGACTCTAAACCTTGAACCCCAACCTTAAATCCCTAAGCGTACCCCAAAACCCTATACCCTAAACCTTAAATCCCTAAATCCTAGACTCTAAACCTTGAGCCCTAAAGGTGCTGGAGTCGGAGAGCCCCGCTTGCTCTGCAGCGGATCTTCGGGTCGCTGGCCCCAGCGGAGGGGCTCTTGGATTGAAGTCCGAGCGGTTTAGGGTTTATGGTTTAGGGCTTTGGGTTTAGGGCTTCGGGTTTAGGGTTTAGGGTTTAGGGTTTAGGGTTTTTCCTGCAGGGCATTTCCTTGGCGTTCTTTTGCTTGGCTCTTAGGACTTTAACTGTTTGAGCTTCTATATGAACTATAGTAAGGAGACGAAAAGTTTAACTTTTAGGAGGTGTTCAGGAGTCAGCCAAGTTTATCTAAGGTTAGAAGTATGGGCCCCTAATATAGGCCCTTAGGCCTTTCTAGGGACCCGTAAGGGTACATATAGGTTATATAGTAGGTATATAAGGATCCCACGCTTAAGGGCCCATACTAGGGGCATGGTTTCAAACTTAGAATTTAGGAAACAACCCTTAAACCCCTAAACCCCTAAACCCTAAACCCCTAAACCCTAAAACCCTAAACCTTGAGACACAGCTAGAGCCAGCGCAGTCTAAGCTATTGAACCCGGCTCAGGGTTCCAGAGTTTAGGGCTCAAGGTCTATAGAGTCTAGGATTTAGGGGTTTAAGGTTTAGGGTTTAGGGTTTAGGGTTTAGGGTTTAGAGTCTAGGATTTAGGGGTTTAAGGTTTAGGGTTTAGAGTCTAGGATTTGGGGGTTTAAGGTTTAGGGTTTAGGGGTTTGGGGTTTAGCTGTGAAGGATTACTAGGGTTTGGGGTTAAGGGTGTTGGGCTTGGGGTCTGAGGGACAGCGGGTAAGGCCACTACCCATGCACCTAGGATTGGATGGTTTGATGCTTGAGACCCCTAAACCCTAAACCCTAAACCCTAAACCCTAAACCCTATGCTTGAGACCGCGGTACGTCCTTGGATCCCCTAAACCCTAAACCCCTCAACCATGTAGCGTAAATCTTCGACCCTCTTCCTCCACCCTAGACCCCTACACTTGTTTTAAAAACTTCGTTCTCCAATATCCAACCTTTAGACTTTTTTGGGTTCTCAGAAGTCAGTAGTAAACTGAAAGTTTAACCTTTCTATTTCCCTGGCTTATTGGGGAAGTAACAAAAACCCAAACCCTAGCCTTGGCTAAGCGAGCATTTTGCGCGCGCAGCACCCAAAAAGGCGAAAAAAAAGAAAAGTCGAAAAACGCGAAAAACACGAAAAACGCGAAAAACGCGAAGCCCGATTACTGCTACTATTACTACTGCTATTGCTCTTTTGTTATTCCTATTATTACTATAGTACTATTTACTACTATAGCTACCCTAGTCCTTTCGAGCCCTAATCACCCTAAGCTCTAAACTGAGCCCTAACCCTAAACCCTTCAACCCTAATCTTTTAAACAGTCATCGGTGGATATGCAAGCGGCTTTCGTTTTACAAAGTATACCTCGAGTCTGGGACGAGGTGGGTAGTTTTCCAAATTGGGGTCCCTTCTTAAGTCCCCGATAGAGTACGGCCCCCTTTTAACAAAGAAGCCCAAAAGGGACCCGAATCTAGAGAACTACGCCAATACAACCCTTATAGTACCCTAATAATACCCTTATAGATCCCTAATAATACCCTTATAGATCCCTGTAAGGAACCTTCAGAGGGACCCGAATTTCGAGAACTACCCAGGTGTACATCGTTGGCATCCTCAAGAATGTCTCCAATGACACAGCGAACCAGAAGTCTGGTTCTCGCGAGCAATGCCATGGGTTTAGGGTCTACCTTAAGAACCCAAAACCCACTTTTTTGTAGGTTCTTTTTATAAACCCAAAAATGGGATTTATAGGGACCCTACAAAAAAGTAGGTTTTGGGTTCTTAAGGTAAGGGCTTAGGGTTTAGGGATTTCGCACCAAAGCCATGGGGCTTTAAGCTCTTACCGTAAGGTTAAGGGCTTACAGCTCAGTGCTCAAGCTGCAGGTTTTGGGTTTTTTCTAGGAGTTTGTGGTGTTTTCGAGTTCATAGACTTGAACCTTTTGGGATGTATAGACAGCTCTTTTAAACAAAAGCCGACTATCGTTGGCAATCTTTGGCTTACGATCTCGGCAACGAAGCTTAGCACTTAGCGCTGTCGGGTCGCCGGCCGGAAGAAACCTTTCCTAAATTTGGTAGTTCCGTATGGGTTTAGGGTCTAGGGTTTAGGGTTTAGGTTTCAGGGTTTAGGGTTTAGGCCGGACGAAACCTTTCCTAAATTCACAGAGACTCCAATACCCCTTTTTTCAGGAATAGACCTTAAATCATATTAAGGCTCCTACTAGAATTTAAGGAATAGTCCTTACTTAAGGGATTTTGGAGTCTCTGGGTTTGGTACTTCCGTAAGGGTTTTATGAAAGGGCTCTGTCAACTGGTTGAAGAACGATTCTATGAACGGGCCGTGTAAGGTTTCTATGCTTGAAGGACCCGGAGGCGCTGAAAGGGTGGTAAGTAAGGCAACTATTTTATATCCGCATCTAGCCCCTATGGAGGAGGTACTAGCCCTACTTCACCCCTAAACCCTGAACCCTAAACTCTAAACCCTAACCAGGGCTTACAGCCTTGTGGTCAAGAATCAGAGCTGGAACTTCAGTGGTTTGTGGGTTTAAGAACCCTAAACCCTAAACCCTAAACCCTACACCCTAAACCCTAAACCGTATTACGTAAACTCCGTCGCCGTCGTGTCACGCTCCAGGAGGGGTTTGCCAAGATCAGGCAAGCGGGAGGCTGATTTGGATCGGTTTAGGGTTTAGGCTTCAGGGTTTAGGGTTTAGGGTTCCTTTCGCGTGGATGGCACCTCAACGGCATGACTGCTTCGGCCACATACCGCATCACAAGGACTCCCCTAAGACTCTGACCATCCTGTCATCCGAGGATGGCATTGGTTGAGCAAGACCTTCCACGCCATGGACCGCAATGCCAATGAGCCGAAGAGGTTCGCCAAATGGGTGAGCGACCATGCTCATGCTCCAGCACAGCCTTTTGAAGGCTGAGATCGACGGGGCATTTGCCGAGAAGCTCACGAGCTGCTCGGACGCGACATGCCGCACTCCGGCTTGGACGGCTTCGACACGAAGACGTGGCAGTCCGCGACATCGAGGAGTTTCACCTGGTGCTGCCGGGTCGATGCCGCAACCAGAGTCGAGCTTTCAAACCAATCCCAAAAGCTTCAATGGGGCTAGGGTTTAGGGTTTAGGCCCTGAAGCCTTAGGGTTTAGGGTTTACCCTAAACCCTACTACTTATATGGATCAGGAAACTCAAAA